ATTGCGTCATGATGTTTGACATCCCTGGTGATAGTAAGGACATCGAAATCGGCCACTGTGTATACCTCAGCCGCATAAAAGATTTAGACGGCATGTAAACGTACTGTTCTGTCTGCAGTTTGAATCTATGTCCCTGGATATGCGCCAGCACAGTATATCCATTTGGAGAACTGATTTCGCAAAGAGGACAATCGACTGTGCTGTCCTCTGTCTTTACACCTCCTTCATTGGTGATATACTATGTCTGGGAATACGGTATATATTCACCAGTAACCGTGACCAGATAGTATCGTGAACCTTCGAATACTCGGAATTGCCGCTGTCGTCTTGGTATCTTGCACGTCTGAAAATCATGTGTCGTAGATGACTGCATGGGGAATAGTATAATACGATTTAGGCTCACACATTTGCGCACTTGCGCATCGCGGGAAGCGTTATTGTAGCCACAGCAGTGGCACACCGCGCAGTGGTCCATCATGGCCGGACTCAAATTAAGCGTGTGCTTGCCACTGAAATACTCCTGCCGCGTCACGCTTGGGATAATTTCGAGGCATAGTACTTCAAGGCTCCATAAACTGTCAATACAGGCGGTGACAAGTGCGACAAGCCTGAGCGTCCCCAGCGTGGCCGTTGGGCCGATTTCAGGCGCTTGCGCTCGCCGCAACTTGAAAGACCCCGTGTACCCCCTACCGTGAGGACCAGTTGACGTGCGAATTATCACAGAAGTGCGATCTCTGGGTTCGGAGGCAGGCTTTCATAATCTCTAAAAGCAGTTGGGGATCGCGACCCTTGGCATGTTGAAGAGGGCTAAGGGTTTGAACCTGTCTACGTGGTTCAGTCGTGGGTAAAGGCATCATCAGTGTCAAGGTCACCGAGCTCCAGAACGGCCGAGCCTTCGGAAGTAAAAAGGGCCTGGGATGTGTGAAAGAAGGAGGATACACGTGAGCATTCGAAACGCGAGTGCTTCAGGGATAGTGGTCGAAAATGAGGCGGAACTAGAGAACATGTTAGACGAGGAAGGATCCAGAAGGTGCGAGAAGCTCAGCGCGACAGACCTAGACATGAGTTTCCGGACTGCTGTGCAGACTCGCATGACAAAAGCATGGACATAGACTGTCCCATGATAGTAAACATCGGTATCTGCGAGTGCGACGAACTTTGAGCGACCATTACAGGAACGGACGACGAAGATAACATAGACTGTAGGGTGTCAGTGCTGATTGAAGCCGGTAGATGAATAATCCGTGGAGAGCAGGGAGGCCCGTTTTCCAACTGTGGTGAAGCTGGAAGGATCAGGGCTGAGAAGGTGAATTCGAGTTAGCACAGTTGTGAAGCGTCTGAGGCGGGGAAGGCAGATACAGCAATTGGAGTAACAAAAGGGTCGGCCCTGGTGTGAGTTCTGAAGCAAATATGGACATATATATCCCACAGGGAAGACAAAGTTATTGAGGGCGATCAGGATGGTAGGTTCCGCCGAGGCAGACACTTGATTCACGGAGTAACGGAATACAATGTATAGCGCGGAGGTCGAAGTTGGCCCACGGGCTTAGTTAATACCGAGTCGCGCCTCGAGTAGTCTCGGTTCCAGGACGCTGAGCAAGCGGGAGGCAGCAGGGTGCAGCGGTAACAAACCATTTGTAATGGTTGATTAGCGGACTTTTGAAGGATTTCAAACTCCGAAAGCCCCCATTACAATTCTCTAACAGCAGGACGAGAGTCTGGAACCGAGACTACGCCTCGAGCAGACGAGTTCTCTACTATGTTGAAGCGCGGAGGTTGAACGTTGAATATTGAAGCCGTAGTACTGTAGAGGCACGACAAGAGTAGTGTCCGGGCCCGAAGTGTAATTCCCAACTTGGTAGACGCACATTCGTACGGCGGGTCTCTTCGGCTCGAGGGCCGTCTACCCGCTTTGTTTCGTAACAAGGAAACGTCTGCTCATGCCGCGTGAGGCTTGTCGGGTCACGGAATCTCTTGGACATGCAGCATCCGAGCAGATGAAAGGCTTGGGGCCCAAACGACGAATGTAGTGGAATTTCATCGTTTGAGCCCCTACGGCGAAGACAGGTCAGCCATTAAGCCAGGGTCACGACGAGTTATGCTAAATTCATGTAGGACTGAGACAACTTTCGTTAGGGAAAGTTCGCACCTCGGACTTCAAAGCTCTGTCATTGACGAACTTGGCTTGGGAATAAGCGAACCAAACAAGTGCGCGGTGGTAACGGTAGACATCCCCTTCTTCCAACGCTACGAGTGCCTGAGTTAGAGTCGGTATGAGAGATTCACAGATGTGAAGGCAGCTGCGAATTTCACCGGGCCTTCAGCCGAATTGCGAGCTGTGATGGGAGGACCTTCGAAGACAACCGCAGACCACGGAAAGAAGTGCATGATGCTTACATCGATAAGCATAAGCACTCGGATTGAATGTACTAGCTGCCAAGGAGTTTACAAAGCCGAAGACGTCGGGGCCGCCGGCGGGCGGTTCCTGACATAGGCACCCGAAGTGGTGGGCTTGCTGACGATAAAAAGCGGTGCTCGGGACGAAGCCTAACCACAAGTTACCTAGCCGGTAAGAGATACCTGTGCCGCCCGGAAGGCTGTCGTGCAGGTTATTTATCAACACTAACGACCTGGGAGATATGCCACTTCTTGGCCAACAGCCGCGGTTGGCCGGTACATACAGCAGTGAAGCAGAGTCTGGAGCACAGCAAATTACTGCCGTGTCCAGGTTGGTGGTGTGCTCGACCTGCGCTCCAGACTAGCCCGATTCCAACTGTCCGACTTGAGTGCTGATGAGGAGTGAGAGGTGTTGACCAACGGACTCAAGCCAAAATGCGCCCTTGACACGTGTCGCGTAGCGGCGGGAGGGGGCTCGCTAGCGCACTTCGTCGCCTTAGTAAGTATCCCGAATGGTAGACCTAAAAGGCCCGAACCATATCGTGTTTACTGTCCCACAGTATAAAAACGAGCGACAACACAGCTCGCGGCGGTAAGACGCAAACAAGAACGGCTGCTCTCATCCAAAAGGCCCTATGGGGGCACTGTATCTTCGAGAATTAGCCGGCTGACACTGGAAGAGATCATGTTTGCGCACCTTCAATGCAACCATGGTCCACAGACCGGGTCCATGAGACCACGACCTCACAGCACACAACAGCAGAAGCTGATAGGTATCACGCAAGAACCGTTGTGTCTGCATCCTGGATAGCATACGCCTATTTTGCATTGCGACAACAAGCATGAAACGAGAAGACGCAATATCACATAAGAAAAACTTAAACCGCCAGCACTTGGGCATCAGCCATCCGCCATACTCCAGTGTTGACCGACCGGCTCATGCAATGAGGGTGGAAGCGGTGGCAGAGTCGTACTTGAAGGTCGGGGGAATCTGTTGCCTTGTCTTATAGTAGCGAGCAAGGCGATGGATACGCGACTCGATAAGAATGAGGCGAAACTTAGAGTCCTTGTCCTTGCGATTAGTCTCCAAGTGCTTGCGGACGGCGACAGCTTTCTTGATCAGGTGCCAGAGATCCTCGGGAATCTGAGGGGCAAGACCTAGAACGGGTGTTGGCATTGACACCTAACGGACAGTGCATACGTCGGCCGAAACACGTACCGCTGGTCTTCAAGATACGGAGAATCTTGTTGCCAGTCACGAAGCGAACCTGGGGGATACCGTGCGAGTCACGGAGGGTAACACCGATCTGCGATGGTGTCAAACCCTTACGGGCGAGCTTGCAGATGTGCTCAACGACGTCCTCAGGGGTAGTCTTGAGCCATGAAGGGGGAGTACGGCGGTAGGGGAGGGCAGAGGACGCTAAGCGAGAGCCAGGTCTAAGAAACAGTTCGCAATTTCGTAAGACTTAAGACAAAACATACAAATGCCCTTTCCGGGAGCGTGCATACGACCCATGTTGGCTCTATGACATACGTTCAGCACACTTGCTTACGCTTAACAAACTTTTGCACTTACAAATTTTGCGGCGGTGAGCGAGTCTTGAGGTCTTGTCGTCGTCGAGACCGGTGGGATCGTTGAGTGCCACACCCACGTGCCAAATCGGGGCTGTGGCTGGCGCGACTGTACAGTACCAAAATCTAGCGCCCAGCCACTGCACGCTTGGTTCTGTTTAGTCCACTACTCGCCCAGCCGATCTTCTAGACTTCTCCGACGTCGCCGCCGTTGACGGAGACAGGCCTGCCAACGACCAAAGGTCATTGCCCTCCGTATCTGATCCTTGTTGCTCGAAATTCTGACATTTTCCGCTGGTTTTATGGGTTCCGGGTACTCAGCATGAAGATCAACATCGCAAGTGAGTCGTGACGCTTGTGCATCTTCAGACCAGCCCTGAACTGTGTCCAATGGATAGACCCCGCGACTGGGGCCCAAAAGCTCGTCGACTTCGACCAGGAGAGGCATTAGTACGCATCCTGTGGTACACGGACAAATACAACTTTGCTGATCTATGTATGCATCTTAGCCGTGTCTTCTACGACAAGAAGATCGCTCAGGAGGTTCCTGCCGACTCTCTTGGCGACGAATGGAAGGGCTACATTTTCCGCATTACAGGTGGCAATGACAAGCAGGGTTTCCCCATGAAACAGGGTGTCCTCCTCCCCCACCGTGTCGGTCTTCTCCTCTCGGACGGCCACTCATGCTACCGGCCCCGCCGTACTGGTGAGCGCAAGCGAAAGTCCGTCCGTGGCTGCATCGTCGGCCCCGATATCGCTGTACTCTCCGTCGTTATCGTCAAGCAGGGAGAGAACGAGATCCCCGGACTGACCGACACCGTCCTTCCCAAGCGTCTCGGCCCTAAGCGTGCAACTAAAATCCGCCGCTTTTTCAACCTCTCGAAGGAGGACGATGTCAGGAAGTACGTCGTTCGCCGGGAAGTCGTCTCCACTAAGAAGGAAAATGCCAAGCCATACACTAAGGCGTAAGTCGGATCAGTGTTTGTAGCATGCTGTGCTTAATTTTCGCTCTAGTCCCAAGATCCAGCGATTGGTCACCCCCATCCGTCTCCAGCGCCGTCGTCACCTCCGCTCTCTCAAGCGCCGCCGGATCGAACGCCAGAAGGAGCAGAAGACCGAGTACGACGCTCTGCTTGCGAAGCGCCTCGCCGAGAGGAAAGAGAAGGTTGCGTCGGTCAAGGCCAAGAAGTGCGTCTTTTTACAATTGTACACCCTGAAGCTGCAGCTGATTGTATCGCAGGAGCGCGTAAGCCTTCGATGTACGCTGTTATGTGGCGGTTGCTTTGTATGGCTTATAGCATGCTGTTTCCTCTCATCTACTCGCCGCTTTCGCAATCACTATACGCTAACTGTGCACGGCTGTGGTGTGGGCCTTTGCAACGCCTTGCGTCCGGCGACGGGACTCGCCTGGGCGTGTTTTGTACTGCTCATAGCTGTTCACTTATGTCGACTCCTGGACGTCTATAAGGCTCTGCTCGGTTTCCAGTGAGAATTTCAGCGCTCCATGTCTGCATTGTCGTTATATGTAACTGTTGTCCAATGCCAAGAGTTAGTCCAATCGTCAAAACGAAATATCGCGGGTCCATTACGGCGAGCACCGCCTCACGCTCGATCTAGTCACCTCGGCTCGGCCGTGTCTGCATACCCATCTTTTGTCTTGAGGCTGTACTAGGTCCTGGGAGTATGGAAATCTCGAATACCCCACAGCCCCACTTTGGCCACACGGTATATGAGTGGCAGCCGCATGATAGCCACACTCCTCCTGGACTCGATACTCTTCCATCTTCGTTGACATGGTGCACGTACCTGGAATCACTCAACGCCTGTATCCACGAAAGGGCGGTGGTGGTGGCGGTGGCAAAGGAGGTGGCAGCGGCGGTGAAGGTGGTGGGACGGGCAAGGGCAGTGGTTCTGAGGGCTCCGGCGATGGCTCTACAGGCTCGAGCGGCAGGAGCAGCGTCCCGCTCAGCGGTTCTACAGGAGGCAGCAATGACCGAACCATCACGGCCTACGGGAAAGGCGGCGGCTCAGCGTCAACTATTCCGAGTGGGCAGCTGTTTGCTGGGCGCAACGTAGGCGGGGGTACTCGCGATCAGGTATTCGGAACGAGGTGCGAGTGCAATTCGTTTATCACACTTGTGGAGAAATTTTAACCATATTGTTACTTCTTAGGACATATGGCAGCGGGTACCCTGGTCAACCGAACAATCGCGGTGTCACTAACTTGGGCTTCCCCTTCGTTTTTTGGCCTGTCGTATGGGGCGGCACTTTGGGCTACGGCGCTGCATACTTGCATGATACGAACGAGGTTAGTCCGGTCATTGCGTACTCCGTGACTATCCGGCCATCTGATGGCCGTGCATATTCCAGTATGGCGATCCGAATAATTCAAGCCGTCCGGGAGGTCCCATGGCGCAGACAGTCTTTGCTGACAAGAATTCGAACAACACTTTCCACCTTCTCGCAGACAACACTACCGTGGCGTCCCTAATTGATTCGGTCGCAGCAAACTGTTCCCTTGGAAATACGACTGCTCTGACCCCCATACCCCTGAACACTTCTGACCCCTCGCAACCCCGACCGGAGCAGGCCGTGCAATATTATCGTGCAAGCAGCGTTGTACTTACACTCGATGGCTACAACGATACGGCGGCCCTCTCAAACGACAGCTCTATGCCTGATACCCCTCTTCCGTCCTGGGTAGACACCCCCTTCCTCAACTGCCTGAATCAGACTATCGGGGCCGCCGTTCCGCTCGTTGATGCCGCAAGCCCTTCAAGCGTGTCTGCTGTGCTCGGTTCCCCCGGCATGAGCCTTTTGGGCCTGATTTGGATATTCGTCATATCTTCCCTCGTCGTCTGAAAGCCAGGGTTGCGCATCTGTGACACTTATCTCTTCCTTCGTGTCACGTTTTGCGGCTTCTGGAGACATTTTGAATTCTGGTGTTTGCTATCCTGTGTTTCTCGTACGGCATACCCTAATATTATATTATTATGGTGAGTAACGACAAGTGGATTTAGCCTTATTGACGCCTATCCTAAGTACATAAAGGATCTTTATCACCGACATGAAGCGTTACCTACCTGATGACCCCCTCACGAATCTTCGATACGTCTCTCAACGCTGTCTGTCATCGTCACGTAGAGTGGATACAGAGAGGCATTGAGAACCTGCATATGTCTCTCTGGTGCAGATTCTCTGGGATTGGCCATGCAGCATGCTTGATTGCTCTCCTAACTGCCATGAGGATTGGCAATACACCTCTGGGGCGTGACGCAGACGTCCTCCGGAGGGTCTTTACAGCGTCGCTGATCAGGGACATCGGGAAGACATTGCGACAGCGACGGTACAGCGGCGACCACAGCTCCTACGTGCGTCGGACGGAAAAGAGCGCGATGAACGTCAAGCTTCGTGGCGGTTCAAATGTTTATCACATTGCATCGCTTGCGCGTCTTTCGATGCGTGGTCTTGACGCTTCCAGCTCCGCAACAGCCGGCAGTAGAACTCGCGGCTGTTTCGTAAGATGCTCGTCGTAGGATATCCGACACCCCATGTTAACTTCGAGCCGACAACTTACACCCCATAATGCATCTATTGCATCTATCTGCTGCGCTCACCTTTGAACGGCCAACGATAAAAACTTGCATCCCTGAACTTTGGTGACCCTGCCCGTGAGTTGGTAGCATGATCACTCCCGCGAGCCAACGCGCAATTTTAGCTGCTAGATGTGCTTACTGTCGGTGCGAAGGACCGTCCAACCGAGCGAGTTGTATCGAGATTTGATCAAATCTGTCGCACTCTTCGCAAGTCATGCTCTCGGCGTGTCGCCGGAGGCTGTCCTCATACCGCGACGCACAGGCACCGAATACCCATTTGGAGAAAATGAGTGCATCCTCGCCTCATGTTGCATAAAGCCCCGTAAATCCACAATTATGACGCAGAATCATTAATGACTGTTGTCACGCCCTACTTCTCAATAATCACGCTTGTTCCTCCTCCTTCAAAGCAACCACCGTTGTGGAACAAATCCGTTCGCTCCCCGCCCGTGTAGCGCCTCCCCCGTGCGTGAGCCGGTGAACGGTTAGGACCGGACCATTCCTCAACCTGATTGGGAACATTCACTCGATCGGGCATGCTTGTGAATGTGGGACCCTGAGCATGATTCGAAGAGGTACATACATCCCGAAGTCCCCCCAAGCGACGCAACATCGAGGGATCGTGGGTGCCGCCGCATGTCGAACAGGCATGCCTAGTGAGCGAGTTGCTATCCCCGCTGCTCTGGATCTACGTACTACCTCGCTCGGAGACAGAAGGTCTTGATACGGCAAGCGCCACAAGTATGCCGAGGCAGTTTAGTGACGCTCAGGTATAAGTAGGGTCGTACCTGCGACAGTACCTGACCAGCATCGACAGCCCTAACCACCAGCCACTTGCAAATCCTATCCTCTCCGTCTCTGTTGAGCATCGCTCTCGGTATGATACCTCCCTCAGCTCAATACCTCGAAGACATCTCCGACAATATCGACGAAGGCACGTCTACTTTGCTATTGATTTTGTATTTTAGAGTTCCAAGCTTAGCTCTGCTTCCGGTCAGTGAACAAGCTCAAAGCCTCTCGCGCGTGGGACGAGGCCTCAGACTTCGACAACAACAAAGATAAGACCAAGTTCCGTCAGTATGAGGAGGCATGCGATCGCGTAAAGGCGTTCTACAAGGAGCAGCATGGTCAGCCTCGCCTTATTGTTGCTTAGCTGAGCGTTCGCTAACCGCATCGCGCCCTACAGAGAAGCAGACTGTGGAGTTCAATCTCAAGGTGCGCGCAAGCTTCAAGAAGACCGTGCGCGCGCGAATGGGCAAGTTTACTGTTTCAAGCGGTATGAGTGGGAACGCTGATACTCCGTAGGCATTTGGGAGGCGATGGAGCTCCTTAATACACTTGTGGACCAGTCTGACCCGGATGTGAGCCAGAAAGCACGGGTGCCGAGGCGCTTGACTGACCGCGAAAATAGACGAGCGTATCTCAGATTGAGCACCTGTTGCAGACAGCGGAGGCTATCCGTCGAGACGGAAAGCCGGAATGGATGCAGGTACGTGTCTGCGGGCATTCAGATGCTGAGGTCAGGGTGCTGACAAGGCTGATAGGTGGCCGGCCTCGTTCATGACCTCGGAAAGCTGCTGCATATATTCGGCTCTGAGTAAGTAGTTCTCGTTGCCGAGGCATAATCCTGCTGACCAGAATTGGTTTAGAGGCCAATGGGACGTAGTCGGGGTACGTCTCGTCTCTCGATATGGTTCTGCGAGCAGGCCACAGACTAACTGGTGTGTTCATACAGGATACATTCGTTGTTGGATGTAAGTTCTCCGAGAAGAACATTTACCCTGAATCGTTCAAAGGCAATCCCGACTTCCGCGACCCTGTGTATTCCACAGAGCACGGTGTTTATAAGCCTCACTGCGGACTTGACAACGTCATGCTCTCTTGGGGACACGACGAGGTTAGACAGACTCTAAGCTTCGTTCCGTTCCTGAAACTGACGCCTCTTGCTGTGCAGTATCTGTATCATGTCCTAAGGAATCAGAGCAGCCTTCCGGAAGAAGCACTCTACATGATCCGGTATCATAGTTTCTATCCGTGGGTAGTCCGCATGGCTTTCTCTTATCCTGGCTCATCGGCATGTGTCATAGATGGCACAGGGAGGACGCGTACATGCACCTCACTAATGCCAACGACCAGCGCGCCCTGGAAGCTGTTCGGGCCTTTAACCCTTACGACTTGTACAGCAAGAGCGATGACCCGATTGATCCCGAGAAGGTCAAACCATACTACCAGGCTCTCATCGCGAAGTTCTTTCCCGAAATAATTGAATGGTGAATGCCAAAACACGTCGAGATGTCCACAGTTCGTCCTGCACACGACACCCAGCTTTGGGGGGGGGGGGGGCACCCGGATTCATTTCCTTTGGGTCATTTTGGGGTCACTTTGTCACATCGGGTTAAATTATACACGAATCTTCATTATGTCCATACTAGAGCATAAAATAGTCATGTATCAGCTATTGTAGATTATACGAAAAAAAAAAGATCACTGTGGATTAAGGAGAGCAAAGCAAGCGACCATAGCTACTAATTGAGGGCGACGGTGCTTGGATAGACTTCTTGATCAACTGACGCGATCAAGCAATGTCGAATGAGACGCTCAAAACTCAGCTATCGATTCTGACTCGAACTTTCACCCAAAAATCCCAGAGGGTCAAAGGTGGCTTCAATCCTCGCGTTCCGCGTCTGCAGACCTCTCCTCCGCCCTGTACATATCGCTCTCAAAACAAGGCATCTTCGTTTTGTCTCGAAAAGCCGGCTAGATCGCTCCCAAAACATGGCTTCGACCTCCTCATTTTTGAAGAATATGCCCGAGCTTCCCAACGTTCCAGGAACTGAACCCGAGCGTGCAGTCCTCGATTCGTTCAGGACAGCAATTGCCAGGCTCGTTTCTGACGCTCTACCACCACTTACAGTCGAACAGGCCTACCAGGGTGTCGACTATGGAAAAAAGGGCGCTGACTTCACTGTTGCAGTGCCTCGCTTCCGTCTCTCCGGAAAAGTAGACGAGCTAGCAAAGAAGGTTTTAGATAAGGTAAGTCGTTTCTTTCACTTTCAATTCACTTGGTTGTCGTCCTCTCGATGCCCCTTCACACTTGTTACATTGCGTAAACCAATACTTACATCGCCAGTTAGTTCCAACCAAACGAATGGATTGAGAATGTCATCCATGATAAAGCCTTCCTCCACTTCACCTGCCGGACCCCCTCATTAGCCCGCCTTATCCTCACACAAGTCCACGATCTCACCTACAACACCGAGTCTCATCAGCCGGAGTATGGTACAAATACGAGCGGAAAGGGCAAGAAGGCCGTCATCGAGTACTCATCACCAAATATCGCCAAGTCATTTCACGTCGGACACTTGCGCAGCACGATTATCGGCGCTTTCCTCACAAACCTGTATCAGGCGAACGGCTGGGAGGTTACTTCACTCAACTACCTTGGTGACTGGGGTACTCAGGTATGTCCTGTGCGTTCCGCTTTCTTGCTGCATACTAAGCAAGTGTACAGTTCGGTCTCATCGCCGTCGGCTTCGAGAAATACGGAAACGAGGAGGAGCTCCAGACGGACGCTATCAAGCACTTGCTTGAGATCTACATCAAGGTCAACGCCGATGCGGAGAAGGATCCGAGTGTCAAGGTTGAGGCCGCTAAATTTTTCAAGCGTATGGAGGATGGTGACGAGTCCGCACTAGTCAACTGGCGGAAATGGCGAGAACTGTCCATCAAGAAGTATGCTGAGGAGTACGACCGATTGAATGTCCACTTCGACGAGTACATTGGCGAGAGCTTGGTCGGAAAGGAGTGGCAGGCTAAGGCTATTGAGCGACTCGAGGAGATGAACCTCATCGAGGACCACGAGGGAGCCAAGCTCGTTAACCTTGAAAAGTGGAAGATGGGTCGTGCAGTCCTCCGGAAAAAGGGTGAGCACCCCACCCGACACCCAGCGCGTTTTTCATGAACCTCGAAATTTAGACGGTACATCGATCTATCTTACCCGTGATATTGGTGGCGCCATTGAGCGGTACGAGAAGCACAAGTTCGACAGGATGATCTATGTTATCTCCTCGCAGCAAGACCTTCACATGCAGCAGTTTATGAAGGTCATAAAACTCATGGAGTTCCCTTGGGCCGATCGCATCGAGCACATTAACTACGGTCTCGTGCTCGGCATGTCCACCCGTAGGGGTACTGTCGTCTTCCTGGACCAGATTATCCAAGAAGCTGCGTCGGTTATGCACGAGCACATGAGGCAGAACGAGGAGAAATATGCTGCAATCGAGAACCCTGAGTACGTCGCGCAAGAGGTCGGCATTTCCGGTATTAAAATCCAGGATATGGCTGCCAAACGGCAAGTAGGATCGCTTAATGCCAGAGTTCCTCTACTGACGTGATACACTAGAATCAACAACTACACCTTCAACTGGGACCGTATGCTCTCCTTCGAGGGCGACACTGGCCCTTACCTCCAATATGCACACGTCCGACTCGCCTCCATCGAGCGTAACAATCCCCAGCTCATACCCCTCCCCGCCCCAGCTGCTATCAACACTGACCTCCTCGTTGAGCCTTCCGCACGCGACATTATCTTTCTCCTCGGTTCGTACCCCGATGTCGTCAAAACCGCGCTCAAGACGTCCGAGCCGAGCACGGTCGTCACCTTCTGCTTCCGCCTCGCACATGCGATCTCAAGTGCATGGGAGACTGTTATCGTCAGGGGCGAACAGGACGTAGAGAAGGCGCGAGCTCGCATGTGGCTGTACCTTTGCACGCGGGACGTACTTGGTGCGGCAATGCGGCTGCTCACGCTCCGCCCATTAGAGCGCATGTAAGAGGACGTCTCGACACCTTGAGTGAATAGGACTGCATATGTATAATTATGCCGAGTCTGCTGTAGATTATAGCCTAGATGCGCTGCTTTTGCAACCACACGATACTGTGTAATCCGTGCCAACGAGGCTCTGACTGCAGAAGTGTTAACCATGTTGACCGTAGGAGTAGTATGAGCTACTTATAAGTTCTACGCACCTCTTCGAGCCTTTCGACCAGAACCAACTCTCGCTTGAGGCAGCGAAAGCCTTGCTGCAGACCGTGATGCCCAGCCATTTTCATCTCTCTCTCCAAGCGATCACGTTCTGATTCCACCCGGATGAGGACCTCACGCTGCCGTACGTCATCGGCCTCCAACGACCACCTGAAGCACCTCGTTCTTCTCCTTCAAGGAGCGGATCTTTTGCCTGAGAGCCTCAAGCTCCCCTTCATGTTGACAACGATGAGTCGAACGCAGACAGACGAGCTCTTGCACAAGGCTACGTAAGCTCCTGTCTTCGGCGTATACCGCGAGGATTTCCTTCTCGATGTCTTCCGTGGACATTACTTGAGAGACGCAGCTATGGCATATGATTAGGCTTCAAGCTTCAAGCAAGCTCAAGGCGAGCAATGGGATGACGGTGATGCTCTGAAGTATTGAAGAATGTAGAGACTGGTGGTAGGCTCGATACCAGCCACCTTGCACAGTGCACGGATGAACTTGATCGAGAGCGTAGGGTCGAGATTTAAAACTCAGCCGCTTGCCTAATGAGACAAGCCGCATCATGCGAGCGAAGAACAATATAGGACTTTTTTATTCCGGTAAATGTTGAGGGCCCTGTCGTACTATAGCAATTTAATCTTTTTAAAAAAACTTCATTGTGAAAGATAGTAGAGTCGGTAATACCAGGCCTTACCGTTTCGACTTGGAGATCCGCGAATTGCACCCAAGACTGCAGTACGAACAGCTATGCGTCACATGCAACGTCAGGAAGACCTCTTCACACTCACCAATACTTTGCGCCCGCGGTGGCGCGAGGTTCATGGCATCGCGTTGCGCTACATCTTTGAAAACCTGCTACCGCCCCAGGGTTTGCTGCAGAACTCGATCGCCAATGGGCCAGAAAGTCGTTGGTGTCGAATGATCCGCTCGATGAAATCTATCATGCTCGTTTGCAAGTCGTGGCATACAGCAGCGTACCCACTGCTGTATCGCGACATTGTCCTTCGTCGAGTCGGTCAGGTCGCTGCGTTTGCGAGAACTCTCCGTTCTTCCCCAGGCACATTTGCATACTATGTACGCAGTGTCACGATCACTTGCGGGATCCCGGACTCTTGGAAACGCGTAACAGGCCAGAGTCTGGCGTACATTGCTCAGCAATGTCCCAATCTCACGTCACTCTCTTTTCGAGCAGTGTTTGTTGATCGTGACCCGGAGGCTCACACACCACTACAAGTCCTGCATACCGGCTTAACACCATTGACCGTACCTAACAACATCACACACCTTGGTTTGTTCGACGAGCGACAATTTAGTAAAGAGTACAAGCCACCGTTCTCGTCCTTAACGCCACTGCTTAGTTGGTGCGCCCATCTGATATCACTATCCATCTCCGCATCCTCGCTGCCTCTCCCGGGCGATGATTTAGTCTTCCAATTTTCACAGTTGGAGACCTTGTCTATCTGGTCATACCGTGAAAGTGGAGACAACGTCGAGAATCTTCCTCTGTCATGGGATATGCCGAAGCTAAGTGCGCTTCGTTTGAAACCTGCAGTCTGTTTTAACCAGACGTCCGGTGCAAGACTTGCAAGCTTCTGTCGCAAGTACGCACATACACTCACGCATCTAGACTTTGGAGGAGACAGAGACTTTGCGCTCTCACTGGAGACGTTGGACCAGCAATCGACGGCGGCCTCTCTCTGCCCCAATCTCAGACACCTAGTTTTGCGGGTGTCGGAATGCCACACCTATTCCTTGGAGGAGGTTTGGTACCGCATGAAGCAATCGTAACTATGGTCCAAGGAAGTAGAGCTCGTCGATGTGACAATCGAACCTCTGGCGGATCTTGCACTAAAATCGCTACAAGCCCTTGTACGCTGTTCGGCGCGGAAGCGCGTGCGATACCTTGACATCGACCTGCTCGCGTGGATGCCTGAGCTGCCATACCTCTTCCCCGTAGCGGACCATGTAGCAGAATGGCCGCGCACCATGGATTGCTACGGTCTCAAAATCAAAGAGACGGCGGATTGCTTGGTCTTGGATGCGGAAAGCTGGGACAACGCGTCGCCCGGGTCGACACCAGCCGCTCCCGAAATCAGCTTCGAAGACGAAACCAGAAGCGATGATGGATCTTCGACAAGTGGATCTGAATATCAGTCTTCGAGCTCTGAACCAGACGAAGACTTCCGTATGGACGAGCATGAGACGGATCAAGAGACGGAAGAAGAGACGGGCGAGTATGAGACGGAAGAAGAGATGGAAGAAGAGATGGAAGAAGAGACAGACGAAGGGACGGACGAAGAGCCAGGCGAACTGACGGACGAAGAAGCTTTTGACATCTATTCTAACACTCGATACAGAACGAATGCGGTACTGCTGTCTTGGTTGAGTATTGCACTGGCTCCTCTTTCCGCTGGCGCATCCGACTCGACTCAAATGACTGATGATGAGGGAGAAAGCTATCGCCCATTCTGTTTTGATTTGATAATGACTTGCTCCGACGATACTTAACGTATACACTGTTGGCTTAGTACTCTCGACGCCCAAGACCTGGGGCAATACACCTCCGCGCGCTTCTAAGCCCGTCCTATAAGCGCCGCGTAGCCGATATAGGTTCTCACCGTGCTACATTGTCGGCTATCGCAGCGACGGCGTATCTCACGTTTTGAGGTCTTACTCGGTCTGTGTTCCTTCGGATATTGCAATAAGCGAACTGAGACAACGTGTAACTAAACACAGAGTTCTGGGTGGTTGCTGAAATCACCTCTAGCGTGGCTCATCAGCGCATTCTCGCATTGGTGCGAATAAGCCGTCGCCGAAGGACATTCCTTTCGGATACCTCTAGATCTTCCGAAGCAGCAGACAACCGTATACCCACCATTACCTAGTCTTGAACTTCATGGACAAGCTATTGGATAATCTCCGTGGAACGGCTACGCCTAACGGCCATGGTACATACCGACAGTGCAACGTCTATGTGGAACCCTTCTCGGAAGACGATAAGCCAGACAAGGATGTTGAATCTGTCCTTCTCGAGAACCGGAGCCTTCAAAGTCTCTTTAGAGAACTGGTTAGCCTCCGGGAAAAGGAGTTCCGTATGGAAGCTATTAACGACGCGCTGCGGAGCCAGATTGAACGGCTTCAGCAGGAGAATGGCCGCTTCAAAGGCATGAGTGCAAACCTGGATGCCTGGAGGTTAAGGCTTCTCACGGAATTGGAAGTAGAGAAAATTCGCGTGAGCCGTAAGCCCCAGAAGAAAGGCAAACCCAAGTTGTCCTCGGCGGGAGAAGCCCCAGTTACAGCCGACAAGGTTGGAACGGTAAGAATGAATAAACAGTCTCTTCTGCGGATATTGCTGACGCATCTTCAGCCAGATTACGAGAGACAAGCCTCGCAAACAGCGCAGCGTCCCGAGGCCGCCCTCCTGATCACAGATATAATAGGTTCTACACCTGCCGAGCCTCCTCGAAGGCCGGACGTGGACGGGAATGCTATCGTTCGCGTGTTACACTACGCCATGCCGCCACCACGTTTGCTTCCTCATTCACTAGCTTATGGGCCGCAGAGCCCCTGGTGCATGGCTGTACGTACGCTGAAGTCGCTTTCCCTCGTTCGAAAAGCCTGGCACGATGCGGCGACGTTTCATCTGTACTCCGACATCGTCTTGCGACGGCCCGGTCAAATTGTAGCTTTGGCAAGGACGATTAAATCAGCCCCACACAAGTTCGGTGTCCTCGTCCGGAGTCTTATACTCAGCTGCGAGGTCCCCGAGTGCCTACTCCGCATCATCCGCGACAGCTTGGCAGATATTATCGATTATTGCCCCCATCTTACTGGAATATCATTCCAGGGAACTTTTCCTGTTTCTGCTCTCTTGGGACCTTCCTATCTCCCCTGCCTCTTCACGAGTTACGCTGGAGATGGTAATTACATCAACCTGCCTCTGCCGTCCAGATTACAACATCTTGGCCTGCACGACGACCGTTACGCAAACCAATTCAAGCCTAGCTTTCTCGCCCTGCTCGAGATGGAGCTTCCTTTGACCAACCTTGTATCGTTCTCCATACACGCCGGCTCCTTTGTACCTAGCGTGGAGATTTACCCGCTACTCTTCCCTCGCTTGGAGACCATAACCTTCTGGTCGACACCTGCAGATAAATATTTTCACGTCCCATATTGGTGGAATATGCCCAAGCTGAAGTCTCTGCGCTTCCGGCCGGAAATGAGCCTCAAAGATGAGACGAAGAACAGCTTCAACCCCTTCTTCATCAAGTATGGGCCGAAGCTAACCAACGTCGACTTCGGAGGGAACCTTTCTTGGCCCGCCGACACCGAGAAGTTCGAGAGGCAGGTGCATGCCCTTAGCAAGTGCCCTAACCTTGAACACGTGGTTCTTCGGGTGACGTCGCCGGAGCACCTGAGGCTCCTGAAGAGATCCCCCGCCTTCTTCAGGCCAATTGAGCATGTCGACCTCGTCGTCAAAGGCTCGCTGTGCCCCGCACCATCGGCGACGAAGAGTTTCAAGCATCACGAAGGGTCAAAATGGAAACACGTGCGGTACCTCGATATCTATCTCCTCCGCTGGGCTCCCGATGTTCCGTACATCTTCCCACCATGGCACGACGAACAAGACGACCGAATCCATATACAAGACTTCTACGGCCTGCAAATCAAGGAGAGCGCAAGCGAACTTGCTCTGTACCACAGCCCTTTGTACGGCGAAGACGACGCGAATCCTAACCAAGCTGGTCCTTCAGGCGGAGCGGACTCGGATGACGACTCTGAGTACCGCCCGTCGAGTTTAGCTGAAAGCTCAGACGACAGCAGCAGCAGTCTCAGCGACGCCGAACCAGATGAATTGCCAGACGGGCGCACGATGCCTTCGTACGGCATGCCAAACGTTACACAGCTCACGGAGGACGAGGCGCTGTCCATATATTCCGGTACACTAGAGCATGTTGGCACACA